ATAGGCAGGAAAAGAGGGAAAGAGCAGATTGGAAAGAATGATAGGGACTTGGGGAGATGTCTCAGCTGATAAAGGGGCTGCCCTTTATCATGACCTGAGTTCAGATCCCAGCACCCATGTGCAAAATCCAGATACAGTTGCCTACATCTATCACCCTGGTACAGGGGAAAGAGATTCAGAGAGGAGAGATGGCAGATCCCTGGAGCTCACTGGCCATCCAGTCTAGTCAGCCAGTGAGCTTTGGGGTCAGTGAGAGACCCCAGCTCAAAGGGAAGGTGGGAAGCAATAGCAGGAGATGACCTCTTCCAGGCATTACTATTTATTATTAATATTTTTAATACTTGAAAAAAATCCTGACCTACCTTTCGGTCTGAGCTGAAATGAAAGTTGCTTTCTAGAACCTGACTTTTCAGACCCTGGTTCTGTCAGCACCTCCTTTACCGGGGAGCTCAAGAGCAGTGAGATGACATAGTCACGTTCTTCCAAGGTTCTTTTAAGACACAGTCTTTCATTGCTTCTCATTCTGGGTAGTGAGGTGAAGTGAGAAGGAGCTGTTTCATGTCTGTCACACCTAGGAGTGAATTTGGCCTTTAGTATTTTCTAGCTGAGTATGAAGAAAGAAACTAGCATATTTTTTAACCTCTAGGAATGCTGGTTCTTAATCTGTAAAAAGGGTGTGACATAAATACTTGGCATGTGGACTGCTTATAAAGGCTACAGGAACACTGAGAAAACTAGAGGCATACCAACACCAAATGCTCTAGTCTTTGTTCTGACTTTCAGAGACTGAGTTGCCACCTGAATTAAATGAAAGTGTGCTTGGATGTACAGCCTCCTTGAGTTCCATTTGCCCTTAGGTAGACAACTATGTGAGCGCCCGCACAGGGAATTTCCACTCTCAGATTGGTCTGTGGCATGTCTTTGAGGCATTTTCTTGATTGCTGAGTGATGCCCAGACCACTGTGGGTGGTTCCACCCCGGGAAAGTGATCCTGAGTTGCATAAGAGGTAGGCTAAGCACAGGCCAGAGGAGGAACAAGCCAGTTAGTACTGTTCTTCTGTGGTCTTCAGTTCCTGCCTCCAGGCTCCTGGCTTGAATTCCTGCCTGACTTCCCCAAGAGGTATACTGTCAGTTGGGAGAGTAAGATGAAACAAATCCTTTCTCCTTATGTTTTGGGCAGTATTTCATCACAGCAACAGAAAGAAAACTAGGACAGCTTGCTATTAGATAAAGACATGGGGGCACTAAGCCTTCCTGGTGCAGCTGGGCATGGGTAGCTTACCACAAGGGCAGTGTTGGTGGAATGAGATGCACAGAACAGTATCAGGGCTGAGGCCACAGGCTGTCGGGGAGGGGATCTGGCCATGCTCTTGGTTGTCTGGCTGTGATATTATTCTAATCTCAGAACCTTTCCCATGTTGTGAGTGTTACCAGCTCCTAGACTAGTCCTGATTTATTTTAGAACTAATCCATTAGAGAACAAGGTGTTTAACTGCCGATGTAAATATGGAAGGAACACAATGTAAATGCCTTCAGCCATGTGTTTCTGAGAACAATTTGGTTAGGATTTGTATCGTTGAAATGAAGAGACTAATCATTATCTGGAAAAAGAGTAGAGTATATCACCTCGTGTCAATTCCTAGAATCTGAAAATAGGATCAACCACTCCAAATAGATAAATAAAAGACAAAAAGCAACTAGCTGATGATTCAGAGGAAAAGGTCCCAAAGAGTTGAGTACGTGAAAAGGAGCACTCAGCTTATAGTAGGCAAGGTGCTGTACAGCATGAAACAAGTTCTTAGATCCCACAAATTGGAAAACACTAGAAGTCTAGTAAGAATATGGGAAATGGAGCAGGCATGTATTGTGGGAAAGAGAGGAACATGGAGAACACTCTCAAGATTGAGTTGAGTTGAAGACACACCTGCTCTTGGACCCAGCAATTCTGTTTCTTGGGATGTACCTCAAGGCATTTCTCACATTAACGAAAAGGTACACAGAGATGGTGAAGAATGATTGCTTTAGCATAGTTTATAACAGAAAACTTGGAAGCAATGTGCATGGCGGGCAACTGGGGAACAGATGAGCTGGTGTAATCATTTTATGCAATCAGTGTGGGAGTTAGACTGAAGAGCCTTCGTTGAGATGCACCTTAGGAATACATCTCAAATGGAATTTTCAATGAAAAGGCAAGTCTTATGCTAAGCACAAAGGTACACATCTGTGGTCTTAGCTACTTAGGAATCTGAAGAAGATGACTTGAGTTTGAGACCAGCCTGGG